CTTACTCCAGAATCTCCTTCAGCCTTCGTTTCCTTCTTTGACTCTTCAGCTTTCGGTTCATCTTTGACCTTTTCAGAGCTATAACTCCCTTGCCAGTTTCAGTTCCTGTTAGTGGGGAATCTCTTCTTGATGAATCTCTTGGGGTTTGACACCATCATAGCATAGTCCTCAGACGTGAGATCATAATCATCCAAGTTGAGATCTTCATCCTCTATCACCGCTTTGCTTTTCGACAGGAGGGCCAACGAACCTAGACTTGAAACCACAGTTTTCTCTTGTAATACGATCTTTTCTTGAGATTTTAGGATGCCCACCAGTTTTGCCAAAGAATAGGATTTGAATTGCTCGTGCGCTTTAACTGTGGACACAATTGCTCTCCACTCAGATCTGAGTCTGTTCAAAAACGTAACCTTCTGTTCAATAAGATTTCTTTCAATGTCATGTTTGATCATCTTGCTAAGAAGATGATTGAAGCGATCGAACGTTTGAGTCACTGTTTCTTCTGCTCCTTGCTTGAACTCACCAAACTCAGACAAGAGTAAGGTTTGAATGGAGTGTTCAAGATCTTCGTCTGTAGAGTACAGTTCACGTAGCCTGTCCCATATCTCTTTTGCAGTCGTGCATGAACTTACCAGCCTAAAAGTATCGGATTGAAGAGCAAATCTGATCAATCTTAATGCTTTGATATTGCACTGAAATTTAACTTTTTCGTCTTGCGCTACATTTTTAACATCTTTCAGAAGATCGTTATACTCCTTTTGAGTTTTAATAATCCTTGAAGTTGCTGAATGAGAAAAAGGTCCAGAGATGATTGCTTCCCAGATGAGGTATCCATTATCCTCAGATCCTATGACATAATCTTCAAAGTGATTCGCCCAGACTTCATAATCATGGGTGTACAGGATGGGAATCTTCGTTGTTGATCCAATGCTGTTTGAAATATTGATGGGATTGGATTGCGACTCGTCCATAATTGATCGAATAACCTGTTCAAAGATCAGACTTGTAATATATCAAATTAGGGCAAAAACAATAAATATCGAGATACGTCAATTATGAGATGACGGCTCAATAAATATCAATGAATGCGGAATAACCCTAATCGAAGCTTTTTCACAGAAAAGAAGTGTATCGATTACACAGCCTCCTGCTCTGATACCAATTGATAAGTTTAAAAATAAACTTAAAGATCGATTAGATCTATGAAGCAGGTAGAGAAATAACCAGATAAACAATAAGAACAAGCAAATGGATCAAAAGGTGTCGAATGATTAATAAACAATCCTCAGAAGAGCTCGATAAAGAACATCAACTGTAGAGGATTTTAGGGTTTACAATAATCAATGAGAATGACGACAGCTGCTTATATGCATACATGCATGCATATATTTATATTAAAACCCTAACAGTTTATCTAAGAAAAAGGAGGCTAATCTAGATAAACATGGATTGACAAGCCCAATCCGGTTGTAAAACAAAAGGGCCCAAGACGCAACACATTAATCTTCAACAAGGATGTTTTGATTTGAACGAAGGGTCCCTGTAAATGTAATGAAATTACAAAGAATCAAAGAACTGGGTTAACATACGAAGGATATCACTGTTCATTACTGTTCACAGTCAACTCTTCGTATGTATGCTTCTTATGTTTTGCCAAAGTCTTCGTATCTTGGATCAAAAAAAAAAAAAGCTTCGTATGAATTGAAGAAGAAAAATTTTCGAATGTAGTCCTTCAAATTTCGAATAGTTGTCAATTGGAAAAAGGCTTCGTATGTATCGCATCAAAAAACTTCGAATGTTTTGGTTAAATGACACAATTTCGAAAACAACCCCTAAACCTTCGAATTTTTGACACTTTGAAAATTAAAGCAAATTTCGAATTTTTTACACTTTTCACCCAACTTCGAAAATTGTTTGAGGCTTTGCATTTTTGGAACAACTCTTCGTATGTTTGAGCAAAAATGGAAGAATTTACGAAGATGGTCCCTGAAACTTCGAATTTTTGGCAGTTTTCACCCAAATTCGAAAAAGGACTATATTTTGCTGAAAATTGAAGATTGTGCATTTCTGGTCCCTGCAGTTTGTGCAAATTGACGCTTTCTACCCAGATTTGAAAAAGGGGGAGAGTTTTGCATATTTGGCTGTTTTGGACGCAACGGGTCCCTGCAAGTTTCAGAAAGTGACAATTTCTACCTGGATTTTGAAAAATCTTGCAACTTTCACTTAAAAAGTCAAAATTTTTCATAAATTGGAAATTTTTGTGGCTTTTTCGTGATTGTTTTTCCATGCAAGATTTTTGGTGATTCATTTTTGGTACACATCAAGGGGGAGTATCGTGAAGATTATTCCTCGGGCGCTTCTCATCCTTAGTGGGTTTTATAATCATTTTTTGATTATAAAAAAGGGGAGAAATGATGGGTATTCGAAGCTTCTCGGGTTTGTCGAATATTCATTTGCGGATTTGAAGACCGGTGTTACTTCGAGGGGGAGTTTGGTCTTGATCGCGCTAGCTCGTTGGAGATTAAAGCCGGACATCCAATCCTAACTTTGAGGGGGAGAATGTTAGGGTGCAAAGTCATGCTTGGATGTAATGTTTTAGGCTTTCCTCTTTGTATGTGTAAATGGGTTGAGTCTTTCCTATAAATAGGAAGTGAGTGACTCCTATTATGTAAGGAATCATTTGGAGTGTTAGACTAGAGAGAGAAATTGTATACAAACCCATTTGTATAATCTTTCTAGATCTAATAAGAGCTTAAAAAGATTTATTTACTCTTTGTGTTCTTGAATTTGTATGATGAATCTCTAGATCTTTCTAATTCCGCACATACCATCATAATCAACACCACTATAGTATTGTTAAATACAAAAACTAAAATGTAATCTCAATGTAAGTAAAATATTTTGTAAAGATATTTTTATAATCGTTAAAAGTTTTCAAATAAATAGCATAAAATAACTTATAATAACAATAATTAAAAGTAACTCTATATAAATAATTATATTGTTACCTTTAAAAAACAAAAAAACAATGTTTGATGTATTAAATAATTAAAATGATAGAAATTAAAACGTTAAACAACTATATTTTAAAGATTAATTAACAATAACAACTATAAATAACATTAAACCTTATAATATATTTAATTTTATTTAGAAGTAACCCGCATGTAGAACTCATTTAAACGATTGAAATTATGTAGTTTTAATATATATATATATATATATATATATATATATATATATATTATAATTCATAATAATTAATATATTATATCAAATTAATATCGAATTATTATATTAAATTTTACATTGTTTTATTTAAAAAAAATATATATTTATAAAGATTAATAAACGGTCTGCGCAATGGACGAAAATTCGAAAGTAATATAGAACTAGGGTTAGGGAGGTGACGTGTAGAATTTCCCATTTATTCGTGCATATAGGACAACCATAAACGGCGGTCAATATGAATGTATGACCGTTGAAATTGACGTCTTCAAGTCCACTTTTTTGTCAAAGCTGAAGGCTTCAAGTCATGTAGTGGGTAGTCGAAACTCGAAAGTCCATCGCACGAGCTAGAAAATTTGGTGTTAAGCACATGCACCAATGCACAGCTGTGATTTTTATGCTAAAAAATTGTATGGATAGAGATTAATTATAATCTATCTATCGAAAGTAAGCCATGAACCATCTTCATCTACCTCTACCACCCACCAATTTCAAGAACAGGTGAATTAATGGAGGTTAAACACATCCTTGTGTTACTCTCCACTACTGTATTATGTATCTTCTCATGTTCCACTGCACTAGATATAGTATCTACACATCAACGAATCAAAGATGGCAACACCATTGTTTCAGCTGGTGAGACATATGAACTGGGTTTTTTTAGCCCAGGAAAGTCTAAGAACCGATACCTCGGGATATGGTACAAGAAGATATCTCCTTGTACAGTTGTTTGGGTTGCTAACAGGGAGACACCAATCAGCGATGCATCTGGTGTGTTTGAAGTCACTACAGAAGGAAGCCTCCGGATTCTCAGTGATGATAATACAGTCATCTGGTCATCTAATTCCACAATACCTGCGACGAATGTTAATCCTGTAGCACAGCTTCTGGACAGCGGGAATCTTGTTGTGTGGGGAAGTAGCGAAAAAGAAAATCTCATCTGGCAAAGTTTTGACTATCCTGGGAACACATTCCTACCAGGAATGAAATTCGGGAAGGATTTAATAACAGGAAGAGAGAGGTACTTAACATCATGGAAGAGCTCTGATGATCCATCTGTAGGACGTTATAAAATCTGGATAGACACAAATGGATATCCACAGTTATTTGTTGGAGATAGTTTATTTAGACGCTCTAGGCTTGGACCATGGAACGGTTTAGGGTTTCGTGGTCTTGCTTTGGAAAACCAGAACCCGGTCTACTACGCTGAGTTTGCTATTAACCAGAAGGAAATATATTATCGATATAAACTTAAGAGTTCAATTGTTTTGAGAAGGGTTCTTATGCATGATGGAAACCTAGTGCAGTTCAATTGGATTGAGAGAACCCAAGAATGGGTCATGTATGGAAATCCGATTTTAGTTGATAATTGTAGTGGTTATGGAAGCTGTGGTCCTTATGGAAGCTGCAGCGTAAAGCTTCCACCTTGTAATTGTATCGATGGTTTTGAACCAAGAGGCCCTAAAGAATGGAATAGAGGAGATTGGTCGAGTGGGTGTCAACGTAAAAAGCCTTTGGATTGTGGGAGTGGGACTCAAATCGATGGATTCCAGAAAATTTCAGGAGTGAAATTCCCAGATACACGACGATCTTGGTACAACGTGAGCATGTCGCTTGAAGAATGTGAGATGGCTTGCAGAAGGAATTGCTCTTGTACAGCTTATGCTGAATTATATATCAAAAGAGGGGAGAGTGGAAGTGGATGTTTGTTATGGTTTGATGCGTTGATGGACATTAGAGAATATGATGATAATCAAGAACTATATATAAGAATGGCAACCTCCGAGTTACCTGGTACGTATTTTATTTTATTCTATATGTAACATTAGAGAAATTGTTACCTTTTTAATTATTATATTTATTTCTATCCATTAGCAATACGCGAATCCAGGTTTAACAACAAGAAGGGAGTACTCAGGGTAGCTGTGTCGGTTTCTTTAGCTGTAGTGCTTCTATCTGTAGTAGTATATGTTTATAGAAAGAAAATGAAGAGGTCTCACAAAAAAGGACCAGGTAATTATAACATGGACACAAGTCCTTTATTATTCTTATAGATTATAGAAGTGCTACGTTTACAAACATCATTACTAATATGATTTTTGTAATCATGGGAATCTGGAAATGAACTTTTTGTAGGGAGCAGGGTACATACCGTTGATAAGGATCATACCAGTGCTTCTATGGGAAACCTTGATGAAGTACCTTTTTATAGCTTGCATAAGATAGCTAAGGCTACTAATAACTTCAACATTGATAATAAGATTGGAGAAGGTGGTTTTGGTCCAGTTTACAAGGTATAACTTACTTCTTTTTTAATAAAATGCAATATATACTACTTCAATACCATCAAAGTAATAGTATTAGGATCATAAATTTTTTAGGGTATGTTGGAAGATGGGCAAGTAATCGCTGTAAAGCGTCTCTCAGAAGCTTCCCAACAAGGGCTTGATGAGTTCCAAAACGAAGTCCTTTGTATTGCGAAACTTCAACATCGAAATCTTGTGAAGCTTCTAGGATACTGCATTCAAGGAAATGAAAAGATGCTAATTTATGAGTACATGGCTAACAAAAGCTTAGACTCATTTCTATTTGGTTTGCCTCCCTTAAGCGCCTTACTTTCACACTTGTTGTAGTAACATGCATGTACTAAGTAATTCATATTGGGCAGATGAAACCAGAGGTTCAATACTTGACTGGTGTCAACGATTGCACATTATACATGGTATAGCTCGAGGTATTCTTTATCTACATCAAGATTCGCGCCTCCAAATCATCCATAGAGACCTCAAGGCAGGTAATATCTTGTTGGATAGTGAAATGAATCCAAAAATATCGGATTTTGGCCTTGCTCGAAAGTTTGTAGGACAGGATGCCATGGCTAAGACGAAGAAGGTGGTTGGCACACTGTAAGAATCTGTAAAACATGGCTCACTAGATTAACCTTAACATTTCTTTCCCAAGACAATGGGAATATACAAATACAAGCAAAAGCAGCATGCTACTAATATGTGTTTATTAATTGAACTATATTGCAGTGGTTATATTTCTCCTGAGTATGCAGTACATGGACGTTTCTCTATAAAGTCAGATGTATTTAGCTTTGGTGTGATTGTGTTGGAGATAGTGAGTGGGAAGAAAAACAGAGGGTTCTCTCATGAGGCTCACAGTGACAATCTTCTTGGACATGTAAGTCAATGTGGTAGACTAAAAGGGACCATAATTAAATTAACTATTGTTTTCTTTAGCCTTAATCTTTTGGTTTTATTTAGGCATGGAGACTCTATAAAGAAGATAAGTCCATTGAACTCATGAGTGCATCTTTACGAAACTCATGTGTTGTCTCAGAAGTACTACGTTCAATACATGTTGGATTATTATGCGTTCAACATCATGCAGAAGATAGGCCAACTATGTTGTCTGTGGTTTTGATGCTGATTAGCGAGGGTGCACTACCTCAACCTAAACAACCAGCATTTTTCACAGATGAAAGTTATCGTGAACCTGATTCTGTTTCATCGGTTGATGAGTACATGCTAACAATATTGTATGCTAGATGAAAACCATGTGCTTCAGTTTTGCTCTTTTTTAGTTCTGTAAATAATTTCACTTAATAGCTTCATGTTATCACTCAATCAAGTTTTGTATCATAGTTTGTATCCGTGTGTAACGTCAAGTTCTTTATTTAGCCCGTTCTTAGGTGTAAATATTTATCATAAGTTTATAACTAACTAAAAGTTTGACCTTTCCGGTAGGCCAAGATATGTTTCAAATATTCCTAACACTATACAAGTCATATAGTATCATTTATATGTGGGATTGACAAAATATGGAAAGAACACATTGTCATATATGTAGAACTTCGATCTGATGACTTAAGATTATTAAGTGACACAAGAATAAGATAAATAATGTTTTGATAGATATATACATAGATATATACCGAACAACTACACATTTACTTTCATACACATACATCTATAACTATATTTTGCAACTCCATAATTTTTTATAAGATTTCTTAAAGATAATTATCATGATTTTGCAACTCCATAATTTTTTATAAGATTTCTTAAAAATAATTATCATTAGAAAAATACCTTTAAGGACTCTTGCTCATCTTTCTGTTTCCTAGGTATTTAATTTATTTTGTCCATCCCCAAAAGTCTTCAATTTAGGAAAGCTGAAACACCTTTTTATCTTTAAACATATTTTCACAAAATTATCTTTAACAACTATTGGAAAATATAGTTTCTCAATTATTTTAATGTTTATCCCTTCCTATTTTTATCCCTTCCTATTTTCCATATAATATAATACAATGGTATCTAACCATATATATATATACACACACAAAGAGAGAGAAATGTTCAAATATTTCTTACGATTATTGTGTGTATTTATGGACCAATATGAATTTATGAATAATTTAATCATTCATTAAATTAATAAGGATACCTTAGTAATATTACACATGTGCATTAATTAATATCCAAAATTAACAATTGATGATTTTTATTTACCTGTTAAAACCCTACCCCACTAACCCTAATTCATCTTTTTCGTCTCTAATTATTTCCAACACACAGACTAATGGTCCTCATCCAGTTCGACACATTATTCTCTGCTTAAGAACACCACTACTGGAGCAAAATCACCGCCGTTCTCTTTCGCGTCGCACCTGTACTTTGCTTTTTGTATCTCACGTTGCTCTTATGCCTCCTCCATAATCGCCATCATCATCTCCGATCACCATCAACTACTACTCACCTCAGTCGCTCACACCTTCACACCGTCACTGACCTCAGTCGCTCACATCTTCGGTTTCGCTCCAACTAGTCGCTCACACCTCCGGTGTCGCTCCTATCAGTCGCTCACACCTTCGGTGTCGCTCCTATCAGTCGCTCACACCTCTGGCGTTGCTCCCCTCTGATGCTCACACCTCCGCTCGATCCCTTTAGGTAATATAATCAATCACTTGGGTTCTTTCTTGTAAGTTATCTTCGATTTCAGATTTTTATTTTCATTCTTGTAATTTGTCTGTGAATCAGTGATTTCATTTGTTTGTGTTATTCCGATTGTGAATCTGTGAGTTCGATACATGTTGTTATTATGAGTTTGTTACTTTACATATTTTTTGAGTTTGGTACTTTTGTCTAATTAAATATGTTATTGTTGAATTGGTTGAGCTTCAAGATAAAGAAGTAGTAGATTACACAAATATATAATTACTGAAGGTATTGTACCCTAGTTCATACATCTTTGTTTTGGCAAATGTATTAGAATCTTGAAGGAAATTCTTGTTAATCTATTGTTTTGATAACATTTCATAGAGCAAATGATCTTGTTAAAAACTAGATTCACCCCACAAAAGTGATAAATGGATACAAAGTAAGTGTTACAATCCTTGGTGAAATTGTAGTCAAGTCTAAACTTTTAATGGTATTAAATTAATTCTGCTTTTAGTTTAATGATTCTTTAAGACTATTTTATGTTGGATGGTTTTGAAAAACCCTAGTATTTAGGGTTTATTCACTATTTTAGCACCATTATAGCTCCAAGACCTTTCACTTTATCAGCCTCCATCCCAATATCGACCCTCCTTGCAAACCCTAGCCCATTTTGAGCATTTTGAACTTTTGACGTGAGTTGTGTGCTTTCATGTTTATGAAGAATGACCTTCAAGGAGTAAGTTTTACTCTTAAGGTTTTGGATCCAACCTCTTTTCTTCATTGTGCACCATTTGAAGGTATAAAGTCCTAAACTTGGATTATGTTTCTTTAGATCTTAGTTACACCTTGATTTTCATCCTTTTTGTCCCAAAACCAAGAGCTTGGTGAGTAGGAGGTACTCCAAAGCCTTTAAGGTGTCCTTCCAAACGTTTTAAGGCAGTTCAAGTCATAAAAATGTAAGCTTGGATCTTGATTTGTCTCCATGCACTAGTTATGGTGTAGAAGGGTTTGAGTAAGCTAGGTTTTAGTGTTGGGCTTCTTGTAGCCAAGCAAAGGCATAAAGTTTGCAACTTCATGGCCTTAGGGGTCTTATTAAGCTTAGACCTGAAATTTGGTTATGGAGTCTTAAGACATTTAAGACCTTATTGTGGGTTTTGCCTTAGGGTGCATACGTTGAGCATAAATCCAAGTATGTTGCAAGTATTGCACCTCAGTCGCGATCCATTCATGCATCGGTCGAGTACTCTACACTTACAAATTCGTAAGTTGGGCATACATCCGAGTCCAACTTTGGTGATTTTAGGCCTTAAATCATTGGGCTTTTCTTACTGGACTTGGACCATAGATTTTCTTGGTAATGTGTCACTTCTCTTTTTGGCCCATTTTGGACATTGGATGATCTTTGGGGTTAGGCCTAGGATTTTATCGGGATTAAAAGAAAAGGACAAATTGGCTCTTTTATGTTGGACTTTAGGCAAGTAATGTAGGTTTTCAACTATGGGTTGTGTCCCAATTATTAATTGGGGATTTATTTATTTAGTTAGCATATGGATTTTTCTAGTCCAGCAACCCAAGCATTTATGTGGTTTTTCAGCAGTTGAGGTGAGTTTCCTGACTAGATCTATGGGTCGAAGGCACCAATGTCGGCCCATTACTTGTTACTTAGAATGTTAGATGCCTTGTGATAATTATATGGAAGACCAGGATTTGGCCCCTGAACTTTGTATCCAAGACCGAGATTTGGCCCTCGACACTGAACGGAAAGATCATGGTTTGGCCCATGGCAAGAAATAATTATATGACTATGATTTGGCCCATAACATTTATCTTCCTTCATGAGTGGTATGTGGTACTTGGGAAAACTCACTAAGCTTTATGTTTACAGTTTATGTTTATAGTTTCAGGTACATCCAGTTCTAAATGGAAGGGCCCGACATGATGGCACAACATCCTCCTATCATGATTTCTGCATTTCATATAATTGTACTATGATGTTTTGGATATTATGACTTGATGTTAATTCTGAATGATTTGATAATTTTTAAAAGAAAAATTTTACCATTATATTTGGGCCATTACAAATTGACCGCCGTCAAAGTTGAGCATGACGAATTAAAGGAGAAATTGCTAAGTCTGGAAGAGGAGAAACACAAGTTTGAAAAGCGTTATGATCTGTTGGGTGGGGAGAAAGCTCCAGTAGATGACCAAGTTATAAGCTTGGATGGTGAAGTGGAGCGTCTATCTCGGCAAGTGGAGACCTTGATGGCGGAGAAGAAATTGCTGGAGCGGCAGGGTGAACAGCTGCAAATTGAGGAGTCGGAGAGAAGGATTTTAGAGGTGGACATAGCTTGGATACTCCAGAAGGGTATTATCCGTGTGATGGATTGAGTCATCAAGAGAAATGAGTTCATGTTGGGGTCCGGAGAATGAAGGCATTGTGTGGTTATAGGCATGGAGGGTGGTAAACAGGCGGTGCGAGAGTAGGTGGTCGACATAAAGTTTAATCCAGAGGAGCCGAGTGCAGTTGTGGAGAAGACCCAAGCAATGCATGACTCTGTGAATGCCTTTATGAAGACATACTTTGCTTCATATCTCCATTTGGATGAACTGGATTTGACGGGCCTTCGTCATCTATACTGTGGTTCCGACACTAAAGGGAACCTGCCAGAAGGTAACACTTCAAGTGTTGGAACCTCCTCCAGTCCACATGGTAATTGATCTCTTCTGTTTCTATATCCCCTTGGTTTGTCATTTTGATGATCATGTTTTAGAAACAATGTTTAACTTGGTTTGCAACCCTACGTGGTCTTCTTTTAAGCCTGGGGTGTGTCTGGTAGACAATTTGCTTTAATTCGTTGCGTACTGGTATGGTTATCTTTTGCTTAAAGTTTGCTTTGGTCCCATATTGTTTATGTTGGTCGTTGGTTTGGTTTCTTTTCAAAGGTTAATGTTGGTCTATGAGGAGCATTTGTTCATGTTTTTCCTATTGGAGGAATTTCTTTCCAAGGGTTTATGTTAGCCTTAGGAATTGACTGGGATGTGACGGGCTTTGTTTCATATCTCCATTTAGATGAACTGGATTTGACGGGCCTTCGTCATCTATGCCGTGGTTCCGACAACGAAGGGAACCCACTAGAAGGTAAGACTTCGAGTGATGGACCCTCCTCCAGTCCACCTGGTAATTGATCTATTCTATTTCTATATCCCCTTGGTTTGTCATTTTGATGATCATGTTTTAGGAACAAAGTTTGAACAATGTTTAACTAAGTTGGTGAACAATGACTCCTACATGCTTTGTAGGGTGTTAAGACTCAAAGAGTTCCTTCCTTTGATAGGTGAAAGTAAGTTGGTTCACCAACTTAGTTGTTTTACTAGGTTGGTTTGAACTGTGAATTAGGATTTATACTTAACCAAATTTTCAGGTTTTGGCCTGAGAGTTCGTGCCCACGAGCTCGGAGTTCGCCATTTCTTCGAGTCATTAGCGTATGTTTTTAGGCTTAGGCCTTGGCTAGCCTTATTTTATAGCCCTTGTTTGGTTCACTTTTATTATGGTATTCACTTTTAGGTAAAGTTTTTGTTGAGTTCGAATTTAGTTGTGACGTGTCAAAGTCATTTGTAGATTGTTAAGATTCGAAGTCTGTATGTTAGATTCAAATGTATGTATTTTGTAAGGGTAGTTTAGATTTTGAAGCTTTCATGTTTACACCCTTATGTATTTTTTGTTCACTTCAGTTGTTCCTATAAATAGGGATTAGTACTAGGGTAAGAGTAACGCGTGTAGAGCTTTGTGCACTTTACTCTCTCATATTACTATACTCATACTGAAGTGTTAATAGAGCTAATCGAATCTTATTTACGTTTTGTGTTCTTGATTAGATCTGTACTTTGATTTCTTTCACTTTAATCGATTTATTCAATCTACATTTGGTATTAGATCAAGATTCATTCAATTGATTTCTAATTTTTACTTTGTTTCAAAAGTTTTTGAATTGCTGTTTTCGATTCAAAAATATTCTGCACTTTTGATCTAGAAATTTTTTTTTGATCAATTGTTTTGATACGATTTTACTTTTCATTTGATAAATCAAGTGTTCGTCGATTGTTTTCTGAAAGATTCACTCACTAGATTCCTCTTTCTGAAGCCTTTCACCATTCTTGTCCGTACGTTAATGACGAACTTCAACATGAACACGATGACTGGTTTTTCTCATCTTCTTGGTTCTTCCACCAAGATTTCGATGTTTATTCATGAATACTACGAGCAATTGGTAGATAGGATGGAAGATTATCTAAATGGGATCCATGAAGATTTGTGGCGTTGCATAACAAGTGGAGATTATCATCCAGGAAGGCTTAAACAGATCATGTTTTAGAAACAAAGTTTGAACAATGTTTAACTAAGTTGGTGAACAATGACTCCTACATGCTTTGTAGGGTGTTAAGACTCAAAGAGTTCCTTCCTTTGATAGGTGAAAGTAAGTTGGTTCACCAACTTAGTTGTTTTACTAGGTTGGTTTGAACTGTGAATTAGGATTTATACTTAACCAAATTTTTAGGTTTTGGCCTGAGAGTTCGTGCCCACGAGCTCGGAGTTCGCCATTTCTTCGAGTCATTGGCGTATGTTTTTAGGCTTAGGCCTTGGCTAGCCTTATTTTATAGCCCTTGTTTGGTTCACTTTTATTATGGTATTCACTTTTAGGTAAAGTTTTTGTTGAGTTAGAATTTAGTTGTGACGTGTCAAAGTCATTTGTAGATTGTTAAGATTCGAAGTCTGTATGTTAGATTCAAATGTATGTATTTTGTAAGGGTAGTTTAGATTTTGAAGCTTTCATGTTTACACCCTTATGTATTTTTTGTTCACTCCAGTTGTTCCTATAAATAGGGATTAGTACTAGGGTAAGAGTAACGCGTGTAGAGCTTTGTGTACTTTACTCTCTCATATTACTATACTCATACTGAAGTGTTAATAGAGCTAATCGGATCTTATTTACGTTTTGTGTTCTTGATTAGATCTGTACTTTGATTTCTTTCACTTTAATCGATTTATTCAATCTACATTTGGTATTAGATCAAGATTCATTCAATTGATTTCTAATTTTTACTTTGTTTCAAAAGTTTTTGAATTGCTGTTTTCGATTCAAAAATATTCTGCACTTTTGATCTAGAAAATTTTTTTTGATCAATTGTTTTGATACGATTTTACTTTTCATTTGATAAATCAAGTGTTCGTCGATTGTTTTCTGAAAGATTCACTCACTAGATTCCTCTTTCTGAAGCCTTTCATCATTCTTGTCCGTACGTTAATGACGAACTTCAATATGAACACGATGACTGGTTTTTCTCATCTTCTTGGTTCTTCCACCAAGATTTCGATGTTTATTCATGAATACTACGAGCAATTGGTAGATAGGATGGAAGATTATCTAAATGGGATCCATGAAGATTTGTAGCATTGCATAACAAGTGGAGATTATCATCCAGGAAGGCTTAAACAGATTGGAACTGCTGATGTTACACTCCAATATGAGACACAAAAAGAAAACGACAATAGATGCTTGTGTGAACTTTGCGGTGCTCTTGCACCGGTGGTTTACAGTTACATCTAGGGTTGCAAAACAGCAAAGGAAATCTAGGATACTTTGAAAGAGAAGTATCAAGGAAGTGAGAATAGTAGAAAAAGTTCTGTTGAGAAATGTCTGCATGAGTTAGTTAAATTTAAAAAGAAGGAGATGGAGACCATTGAGATGTACTATAATTGTCTGAATGAATTAATTTTCAAGTGTAGTTGTTATGGAGTTAATTGTTCTTGTTTGGAGTACAATTTAACTTTCTTGATGGGACTTCGAATGGAGTGGAAGAACATAAGTTTAATGATCAAAACACAACAAAGCTTCGACAACTATTCACTTGGTGATCTTTATAATGTTCTGAAAGCCCATGAAAGTGAGATTAACGAGATTGCTGAAGAAGGAAAATGGATTTTGGGTGGTTCTCTGGCATTGGTTTCGAAAGTGTATGGAAAAGAAACTGAAACCGAATCTATTGAAGTTGATGGTTCTGATAAGAAGGTTTTATTATGAACTCTGATGACAAAGTTGCGACATAGTATTCAAATAATAAATTCAAGAAGTTCTACAAAAATCCATTCAATAGGAAGTTTAAAGGAAATGATTTCAAGGGAAATTCATCTGAGAAGAATGTGAGAGAGGAAACGAAGGTGGAGAAGAAAGAAAACAAGACTAGGGTTGAGAAGCCAGAAAAGAAACCGAAGGGTGACTCTGGTTTCGATTGTCATTACTGCAATGGTATGAACCATATGGCAATCGATTGTATATTGAGGAAGAGAGATGAGAAGAAGGATAGAGTGAAGGATTAAGCCTATTATGTTGAAAGGCTAGAAGAAGTGAGAGTTAGGATGAAGGGGATGTCTCTTGTTGCAAAAGGAAGTGGCGAAAGGGGATGACACTTACCAAATCTGGTCATCTAGATTAGATGATGAAGAGATGAGGAACCCTATGCATGGAGCCATGCATGAAAAGCATGAAGAAGGAAGTGAGGATGAGGAGAAGGTGATAGGGAAGTGTTTCATTTCTACTGGTGCTGACAAGTCTCCAATGACTTTGAAGGTATGTTCTCTTTTCGAATCCTTTAATATTCCTATCAGTTCATATGATGCTATTTTATCTAACTTCGATGATATTATATCTTACGTTAATGACATCCTTATTTCTATTAGGAGTGATGTTAAGAAATCAAAATCTTTACTACTAGAATCATAGAAAAGGTTGGAGTTGAAGAGAAGTAGAATAGACCATCAAGAATTGCAGTTAAAGAATGTTACTTGTGATAGGGATACTATGAGATTAGATAATTGTATTTTGCTAAACAACATAGCATCTATTGTAATTCGGCCAAAAGACTGTATGCTAAATTTACTGATTTACACCATTCATTAGACATAAGCAAAGAACAACATAGGAAACTTTTGACTTTTTTGAATTTCGAAAAGGAAAAGATAGATTTGACTTCTTATGACTGTGAGAAAAAGATTTTTGGGTTTGATAAGGTCCCAATGACTCGTATGCATATGGTATTGTGAAGACAAATGATTGTGAATGAGACTTTGTCCAAAACTGAACAAATAAAGATTTTGAAAAAGACAGAGAATTTAACATCTGACTCTTAACACAATTTTGTTGATATCGAAGATGATTATGAAAATATCAGTGAAATTGAGGTAGAGGAAGTTGTTGATTGTTCTCAGTTAGTTGTCATTAATGTCACTTTGATAAACAAGGGTAAAGAAATTTGTAATGATTTTTTGGTTAAGATTAACACTAACCAACCCTATATATCTAAATTTCATGAATATGATCGTGTGATTGGCGAAGATAGTCAAACTGATAGTGATAATGATGAAGAAGATGATTCAAGTGACACAACTATTCCCAAAGTTGTTGTTGATCAAGTGTGATTGGCGCTGCCCCCGGACCCCCGTTTGTTTAGGGGCTTCGTCCCTAAATAACAATGTACTTTGAATCTTGAAAAAAAAAACTTGAACAAGTATGCATTCCTACACATCCTAACTTGTTCAATATTCAACAAAATCACTTTTTGTCAACAAATTTAATCCTATTACACTTAAATAATATTTAATAATATAAAATCACCATCTGTCGCTCACATAAACGTTGATTTGGATGACTATGTACATATGGTACATTCTATAGTTGATGTACTTAATATGGACTAGAATGAGATGTCACAACATGTCTTATGCCCCCTAAAGCTAGAAAATAAGTTTGAGTACCATTTAAAGCCAAAACTCAATACTTTCATAGGCTATAATGTCATTTCCAGGTAAAATAATAAAAGATTTTTTTTAAAAAAATATAACATCACTAGCTGAAGTAAAATCACCAAACCATTCATTTGATTTTACGAACCATATTTTGATTATTTCTTGACAATAAATGTCGCAAACACAAAATGAAAAGTTATGGGTCCAAAATTAGAAGTTTCTTACAAATTGGGGACCATATTTTTAACTTGATGCTTCTTTCTTTATTTGGTTAGTTCATCTGCTTCCCCTATGCTATTCTGAACCTGTACGTGAGAAAATAAAGCCGAAAATTCTTGACGACTCCAAAATCCCAATTCAATGGTTAGTACAAATTTCCTTTAAGATCTAGTTTCTACGCTACACAAATCGCGCCTGTTATTTCTCGATTCCGATTACTGTTTGTTTTTCAGTTTTGAACCTTTACATGTGTTTGTTCTTTTACAATTTCATCTCTCTATATACACTGATCAGATGTATTTTAGCATATACTCCGATCAACTAATATTGATCATCCAAGTTGCATAATTCCGCAATTACTGTTTCAGTCTTTCAATATCTTGACTTTCGCTGTTTGATTTTAGGGTTTTCAAGGTTTGGCCTTTGAATCGATTTGCATCCGACTTTCTCTTGAATTTAACAATTAATTTGTTTATTTGTGTCGAAATGAGCATATAATAATCGGAACAAGTTCAGTCGCAGATTCTTTAATTACATGATAGAAACATGACTGATCAAATAATCTTTTGTTCATTGTTAAAGTTTCTTTAAGATCTATGAAACATTATTCATGTGTGTAGGAATCTTGCCCTTCTGTAAAGAACATTCTACTTCTTGACTCAGAAGGAGGTCGCATAGCTGTGAAGTACTATTCAGATGATTGGCCAACTAATAACGCTAAAGAAGCATTTGAAAAGTCTATTTTTACCAAAACTCAGAAGACGAATGCACGAACAGAAGGTAATTATCTGTTTGAAACAACATGAATGTAATTGAAATTGAATCTTTCTTTCTAAACTGGTATGTTTTTCTTTGACTATTTACAGCTGAGATAGCAATGCTTGAGAACAATGTTATTGTCTACAAATTTGCTCAGGATCTTCACTTCTTTGTGACTGGTGGAGATGATGAAAATGAGCTCATTTTATCAACAGTTCTTCAGGGTTTCTTTGATGCAGTTGGTCTTCTATTAAGGTAGTTTGTAAACAATTTATCTCATCTGTTTTGTATGTTTTCATCAGCTATTATTTTAGTGGCGTTTTGGTAATTTTACTTTAATGTTTATGTGTTCAGGGGCACTGTGGATAAGAAGGAGGCACTTGAAAATCTGGACCTCATTATGTTGTGTCTTGATGAAATTATTGATGGAGGGTAATTTTATCTTTTTAACCTTTGGTTAATAGAGAATCTTTCTAGGGCTATTTTCGGTGATCAGGATGAGAAAAGGGTATTTACGTCTTTTATGTTTTTTCAGAATCATCCTTGAAACTGATGCAAATGTTATTGCTGGAAAGGTTGCAAGCCATAGTGTAGATTCTGGAGCTCCTCTCTCTGAACAGGTGCTTTTATGATTTTATCTATAGCTCCTCTATTACAAAATTGTATTGAAAAATCCATCCAATTATAACAATTTCATCTAATTACAAAACAATTTTTATTTTTATAATTGGATAGAGAAAAAAAATAATTGAAAATACAATTGCTATAATTGGTTAGATGTTGTAATAGAAAGTAAAGAAATGAAAGTTAGATGTTATAAACTTATAAAACACAAATAAATGGAAGTATATTGCTTTTTCTTGCATTTATCCCCAAATTACACCATGGAAAAATTTGTCTTTTTTTTTTTGTTAATTTTTTTGTACTTTATTTATTCAACACTTCAATTTGGTTGTTGCAGACAATCAGTCAAGCATTGGCAACTGCACGTGAACATCTTACAAGATCTCTCCTCAGGTAATTAATTAATTATCATTAAACATGCAAACTTAAGAAAAAAAAAACATTTCTACTTTCACCATTTTATTGATTTATTCACTTAACTATCGTATTCTACCTTTTTTAGTCTTTATAAAAAAACCAATGTTTTAAAAAGGGCAAAATACATAAAAGTACAATGTAGTCTCATCATTTTATCGATTTAGCCACTCAACTATTATCTTTTTTATTATTATTATTATTATAAATTCAGTGGCTAAATCGATAAATTGTGATTTTCAATGTTTTTCCCTAATAGCAAAACTGGGAAAATGTTTTTGTAAACCGTTAAAGTTAAAGTAAAAGTATAATGCAATGCCTTTAATCACTGCAGAAAATGTTTTTTTTTTTTTTCTTTTTTGCCAACTTTGAATTTACACAAAAGTGGCATGTAAACTAATATTCTCTTTAAAATTTTCAGTGGATAAGGATGCTGATTTGAGTGAAAAAGTTGCCTAATCTTGATTTGAAATCGGATGCTTTCGCGATTAGGGTATGGACATTAGATACAGTTGAACTGATATTGTAGGTAATTTTGTTGTGGATATGTTGAAAGCTTTCATGGAGGTTTCTTGAAAAATTAGACATCAATTTGTGGGTATAACGGTTTTTCATGATGAGAATGATGAGGGCATTTATGTCTTTTGTACAAATGAAAGATCGATGAGTCCCTATCCGACCTTTTTGGATGGGACAAAAAAATTGCAATATTTGTCCAATTAACATGCGTCTGTTTTGTTGGGCTATTTTCATTATTATTGAGAAAAAGGATATTTACCTTTTTTGCATAGATGAGAGATTCATACGGAGTACCCATGTTCAATTTCTTCTGAGTTGGAAAAAAAAAATTGATTTTTGTCCTATTGTCATTGGTCATGGTCATAGATATAGACAGACACAATCATAGACAATCATACTCACAGATGGACACAATGTAAGCTGTTGTGGCATGTCATATCAGCATAACGAATGAAACCTTAAAGGTCGTGTATGGTGCTCGTCTTATAAAAAAACCACAACTATTATCAAGTTTATTATCAAAATATTTGACATTACTTTACAAAGAAAATATGTAATCTAGTTTCAAGTATGATCATATCAGATTTTGCAAAAAGTCAATCTGATAGTTGATAAGCTAGTTGGTAGTTGATATTTACGAATTAATATTGTTTGATAAAAAGTAGCTAATAAGTTAAGATTACAAATGTAAAATAATATAAATGAACATTTAGATATATAACTACAAACTAGCATTAGATATTAAAAGCTAGCATTAGATATGATTAAAGGCATACTTGAAATATTTTTGTAACAACATTTTTTTTTTGGAAAGGGAACTTCACTAACGAGGGTTTCTGGGTTAGCTTTCACGCACCGACTAATCTTCCGCTGCAAACATAAAGCTTTTTGCCTCATGCTCTGGAGTCACTGCAGCTGAACCTCATTGGCCACAAGGGCTGAGTGGTGCTAGGATTTGAACATGAATCAATAGGTTATCCACCATATCTTCCACATGCCTTACCAAGTTACCACAACCAAAGTGTTTATCAAAATTGAGCTTATAAGCTAGTTTCGTAAGTTATAATAAGCTAATAACAAACAACAAATTAAAATAAGCCTATTTTTGCCTGATAGGATTATAGTATCATTGGCAAGTTAAAGTTATTTGCTTTGTGCCTGATAGGATTATAGTATCATTGGCAAGTTAAAGTTATTTGCTTTGTGCCTGATAGGATTATAGTATCATTGGCAAGTTAAAGTTATTTGCTTTGTTATGAACCATTGAATTGATTGGGTGAGTAATTGATATAAATTATTGATTCTAATAATCAAACGCTAACCTTAGAAAATGATTTTAATCCATTCGTTCGTCATATATACCATTTTTTTAATTATAATGAAATTGAGTGTATGATGAGATTACAATTTTAAACAATGACTTATTATTAACTAGTGTAGCTATCCATGATTCGCATGGATCAATGTATTCCATTTTTTGCATAGGCAAGTGGGTTTATTGTGTTATTCTCCCAATTTTGTGATATCATACCTTAGGAAATACAGTCAAGAAAATGATCGAAGAAACCATCAAAGCAACATGAAAAAACATGAAATGTTATTAACTATTAAGAGTTCAGAAAAATAAGAATAAGAAGGAAAATGATTCACCTATACATCCATTGTTTTGATCTGATCTTACCCATACTTCCCTTTCCCACTTTAATGTCAAAAAAACTTGAATGATTGATGGATGGACAAATTAAGTAGGTTGGTTTTAAGGTTGTTTTCCAGGTCATATGTTTGTGACATATGTAAGTAGTTTCTACAACCGCTAAATCCAAAAACTTATTCCACCTGCAGCAAAGCAACAATTTTCTTTTGGGATATTCTAAAGAATAATTTATAAAAATCAGAACTTTGTAGAATGTTCATCGATCTACTTGATACTGATTTGCTATGTTCACACAGACACAATCCTGTTCGTGAATATTCATTAAAAGTTTGCCCGACCACTTCAATAATGTCCTTATCAACAACAATGTCCATGTAGAAAGAAAATTTAATCGCGATAGCTCATAGATTCTTCAAAATATAATCCAAACAATTACATATTTAGCATCAGCATATTGGAAAAAAGCTTTAAAAACTACATACCCAAATAAATAGAAAATACAAGTAATAACATATTATAGTAACTTTATCATCTGTTGCAATACAGTTGAAAAAGCCACTTAATAGAGTGGAGAAGGATTTTCTACATTTATTGAATTTGAAGAAACTAATACACTAAAAAGTCTTTTTAGAATTGTTGATTAACAAAAGATAAACCTCTGTAGAAGATGATGATACAGGAAAGGATGTATAAGCTGCCTATAAATTCTCATCCTCAAACCAATTCCTGCCTGTTGACACCAGTAAATTTATAAGTTATTACATAAGTAAAGGTAATTAAATACTAATATTGTTCCTCACTCTGAAATTAATTACATTCACTACAGAAGTTCAATGTCTACAAATACAAATCTAATGAAAATAGTGAATCATGTCAATCTAATGACAATGTCTACAAATACAAATCTAACAACGACTGTCGTGCAGAGCTCCTTGAAGACCAACCCGCATCCGAATGAAAAAGAACTAAAATCAAGATTAAAAATGCAATAAAATAAACAAATTTCAGAGTTATTTGTATATCTAATTATCCATCAGTACCCATTCTTCATTAGGAAAGTTGTATCTATGAAACCAAAGAAGCATAAATACAATCCATTGAAGAAACGGGATATATATATATATATATATATATATATATATATATATATATAGATCCACCATTTTCTCAATGACCTTCTCAATCGAATCAACAACATCTTGAATAGTTGCAATCACTACTAGAAAATACAGCCTTTTACGATGCTCATTGCGCGTCGTAAAAGGCGCGCAAATGCGCGTCAAGGAAGGCCCTGTCATAAAGAGAGACGATGCGCATTTACGACGCTCATTTACGACGCGCAATTACGATGCACATTTACGACACACAATGCGTATCAAGGAAGGCCCTGTCATAAAGGAAGACGACACGCATTTGTGTGTGGTAACCTTACGACACGCATGTTAATGACACGCAATGCGTATCAAGAAAGCCCCTGTCAAGAAAGGCCATGTCATAAATGAAGATGACACACATTTTTGCGTATCATAATTTTAAATGTTTAAAAAAAAAATATTTATAGATTTACTAATTTTCAAATTAAATTTGTATTTAATGTCTCATAATAGAAAGTAAAATATCATATACGAAAAATAAAATCCGTTATATAAAATTTAATGTCATACAAATAATCGTTCCATGGAAAGATAAAACAAATCAATAGTTGTAACAAAAATTTACAAGCTAATTAGATACAATAAATATAAAAAATATACCCTCAAATGCTTTTCAAAGTCTAATCTCCATGTCAGATCTTCAACTCACTTCTCCAGTTTGTCCTTAGGTTCTTTAAGGGCTCCAACATCTCTTACAGTTTCAAAGGTACAAAGAAGAACAGAACGTGAGATTATTTTTCCACCTAGATGTTCTTCAGTGATGTGATGAGAATCATACCCCTTCAAAGGCATAACAAGTAACCAATAGCACTTGTTATGTCAAGCACAAGCACAAATAGAAATATGCCACTTTGAGTAAAATTAGTATAAGTAAAGACTAGAGAGAAAATAACAACACATACCAAGTGATGGAGGCTTTGTTGCAAAGTGAACGACCAAGTCATCTACAAGAAACATGACTAAAACTTCCAAAATCTTCTGTATACCCATATCCCGCTTCTTTTAAAGTTTCCAGAATGTTTAGAATGCTCTCCTTACTCTATTATTTAAAGTGTCAGGGGAAAAAAGTCACAAAGTAGTAGAAAGTAACTATATTTATTGAACAGTATCATGTAAACTTGTATGAAGTACATATAGTTATATATACATGCAACATTCTAAACAGTACCTCTTTAACGGAATGGTGTTATTTTTGTAATCCAATAATACAAAATGGAACCTGAAATTCAATTAGCATTATTGTTCTTCCTTTCTTGGATAATTCATCAAACAAGTTGGTGTTATTTTTGTAATCCAATAATACAAATTATACAAATTATATCATCCATGTATTATTATTATTATTATTATTATTATTATTATTATTATTATTATTATTATTATAACCCATATAATAATTATTATTATAATCATTATTATTGAAAGTGAGATAGCAGACTTGATTTGATTCTAAGAACAAGTAGAGAAAGATGAAGGAGATGTAATGTGTATGGTTGTTGGGATATCCGTATATATAAATTCAGATAAGTTAAATAAAATTAAAAAATCCAAAAGAATCAGATGATAAACCTTTGTAATTGTTGGAGAATATTTTCTAGAAGGATGTGCAGAGCGACGACTTAGAGTCTCGGATAACTCCAAGGTTACTGAAAGCTGGAACAGATGAACCAAATGAGTTAAAAGATGTAAATACCCTTGTACTGATGTCAATGGAACAAAAAATGCAAGTTATACTTGTTATGTTAGTACCTCAAGACATCTTCTGGTTTCTTCCTCGTGGAAAAAGGTAAGAGTTCCACCTATCTGTGAACAGAAATCCAGAAGGGTATCTAAGTAATTCAACCAAAGAAAGGATATGGATTAAGGAAAATAAGATGGTTTGAGATTTTTTTTACCATATCACCAAAGTAATAAGTTGATTCAGGGGTATATAAGTAACCTCAAAACAAGATCCGGCCTTATCCTTTTTCTCTCTAGATTCAAATCCAGCAAACAGTGGACCATGGTACTTTCTGAAAGGGTCCGGATCTTTTGTTTGAGGTAAGTTCCCTGGTTGTGAAGTCAATCTAGATTGGAAAGTTTCAGGGACAACATCAGGTCTTGATGCAACTGCCTTACCCTTGTACGTTACACCCTCATTTACCTCATGTTCATGTTTAGGAGGAAATGCAATGATTCTCTGCTTTTATTTTGCAGCGGAAGGAACCGATGGAGTTTCCTTTATTGTAGGTGTGGCTTGTGCATTAGCTGTTGCTTTATCCTCATAAGCTTCTCTTTTCAAGGTGTTCATTCCAACAGACATAGTCACAGCTTGAAGATCCTTGTTATCGGACTCCACAGGGCTTCTAACTGAAGCTCTATCATGGTTAGCGTGTATTGGTTCAAGCTAACCATGTTAAAACTATAGCAGGGGAAGCCACCTGTTGTAAATGTACTTCAAGGGGAGGTGGGGCAATAGCTTGTACTGGTTCATGAGGCAGAGTTCTATCTCCTTTCTGCCATCAAGTCAAATCCATAAGTCCACCAAAAAAAAGAGAGAATTGTACCCAAAAAAAGTAGCATGAAATTTAATCATAAATACTATTGATAGTAGTTTTAACATTGAAAAGAGGTTGAATGGGTAATGATGTATGTCTAAATAAAGTGCCATACTGAATGAACCGTCGAAAAATGAGTAAATGAACATTTTACCCTATACAGAAATGATGGTAAATAACAGATGACTTTATTTAAGAACAATTATAAATCAGATTTTACTTTCTATAAATAACAATACACATGAAAATATATTTAATTACAATAAGATTAGCAACTTAGATTGATCATGAAATTTAATCATAAATACTATTAATAGTAGTTTTAACCGGACATAGTAGTTACGAATTGTTTTGATTGTGAATAAATTTCAACTCTAACAAATATGTTAACCTAAGAAGGTTTTACACTAGTTTTGATCTTAAGAAGCTATTAGACTTCAGTTTTCAAATCCAACTATAAGAAAAATATCGTTAAAATAATGTAAAACCTTCTTAGGCCACCATGAAGGGAGATCATGAGAGGAGTTCTCTGGAGGAAAAAAAAAGGGGGGGGGGTGTAAATGTAAATAACTAAACAAGTAGTGCCCAAATACATTAAGCCAAGTTTTTTGCTTAACCCAGTAAGCTATTCTGTCTGAATTAAGTCAAAAAACAATTACAAAGGTTTATTTTTACCATATCACCAAAGTAATAAGTTGATTCAGGTTTTGTGGGTGAGAATCTTAGTAGAACTTCGTCATCAAGCCTAATGTTGTATGATATTCCTCGAATCAGACCTTCTGCTGTAGCACACATTTGTGGCAACTTAATTTTTAAGGTATAACACAAGGGTAAAATGGTCATTTATGCAACAACAACATTTCCGTTTTTCCACAACCATGGTAACAGGTAAAAAATGATGCATCTTTCGGGTATATGTTAATGTTATACTCTAAAATGAAACAACAATGAAAAATTTTGGGCAAAAGCAAAAAGTCGTTGAACAAATATTTAAACCAAATTAGATTATTTTAAAAAGTGTAAAAGAATAAGAAACAGTATTACTTACATGCAACAGGTTCAAGACTTGTTGAGCCAGTTGAGACTCTCAATTCATCATTCATAGGGGGAGATTTTGGGATTTTTAGCTGCTCATTTGGAACATTTAAGTTATCTGTTCAAGTGTCCCTGCAGTTAAATTTACAAATAGCTCCCCACCCCTATTTACAGCATCCACCATTCCCGCTGGGACATCTGGCAAAGCCTGATCAATGCAAATAGGTTTACAAATTACAACACAAGATATATTATTAAGTCAATAAGTCAAATAGAAACAACAACAGCCAAACCTGTTGTAAAGGAAGTTCATGATCACCAGGGAGTGAACGAATTAACATATCCAACACTAAACTAATGGCAGACTCTAAGCTAAGCACCTGAGCTAAGGTGGATCAATCGTATCATCTTTGAATTTAATTAAAAGATTCCTTGAGATTCCATAGTAAGATTTTATCTTCACAACAAATTCATAATGTTTCAACTTTCAACAAAAGGATTTACATTTACATTTACATAATTAATAATAGATACCAGTCTTTGAGTTTCATCTGGTTGTGGAGAGAAATTGTCTCTTCCATTAGCCAACTCCATGTACAAAGGAGGAAGTTGCTCAATCAATGGTATAATTTGTTTCATAATGCGAGGGTTAAGGTTCTCCAAGTTTTTTAAAGTCATTTCTGCCAGTACAAATTGAATCAATCATTTTATATTTAAAAAAATTGTTTCTTAATTGTTACCCCAAGATAGATAATTGGGGATGATGCAATCTGTGAGAGGATTAGTCCAATGCTTTGAGCCATTGGTAAAAGAATAGGTGAGAGCAATGGTACAGCTGTGCTGGCATCCTGAAAGACCAGTGATATTATGATATAATTGCAATAATTAAAGAGAAATGGATAATAACAAGTAAGTAAGTACCTTGTTGTTGAAAGTCATATATACATTACCACACGTCTGTATAGCATACCTAGAACCTGATCAAAACAAACTTACTTGATTGTCAATTTGTCACTGGTTCAAGAAAAAGAAAAAAGAAAAAAGAAAAACAACCAATCAAAAGGTGGATGATGGATCCTAGAGAATGTCCAATTCCAAAAGATGGAAGATCCCTCACCTATATTATATGTATACCAACCTTAATTCAGGAAAAAGAAAATGGAAACAAACTTTATATACATAAAACATAAAAGAAAATGTTCACTGTTTGGTGTAGAGCCCTAAGACACTTGTCAAATTTTAACTGAACTTCGTCTGCTATGAAGAAGTGGTCAAAGCCACTAGCATAAGGTGTTGCAATTACCAATGCACCCCTGGACAAGAAGAAGAAGAAATGTTAAATAATTCGTTTATCATTTATGTTTAATGAGTATAATAATAAGAGCAGAAGGCGTAACAGTTTGAAGTCGTTTTTTTATGATTACCTCCTACCTCCCCTGATGCTTCTTCCCCATCCAGCTACTGTTTCGTTAGTAACAAGAACCCCTAATCAAATAGAATATAAAGATGAACTGAATCAAAGTAGCTTTGGGGAAACACTCCACCACCGTCAAGAAGGAAACCCCACCGATAGGTCGGTGTTGGTATTACCTGATTTAGGGTGAGTAAGCAGGAAAGAAGAAGAGGTGTCAATTAAAGGGGATGTAGTGTAACGCCCGTAGATCCGGGCTAGTCAATTTAGAGGCAATATGGGTCGAAAATGAATTTTCGGAAAAAGATTATTTAGAATAAATAATTTTAACCAAGTTATAGTATATGTCACAAGGTTTCCGTACATATAAAGAACACCGAAATCTGAGTTATAACGAAGAAGTTATGGCCCGTCGAAGTTTTACGGCAAAACCGGCACGGCACCGGGAAGCGTAAAAAGTGAATTTATGATAGAAGACTTTTTAGCCTTAGTTATCTAAACCAAAGTCGTAGATTATGTTAAAATGAGAAAATCCATAAAAAGAACGCCCAAATCTGACTTCGTATGAGGAAGTTATGATTTTTCAAAGTTTCAGCTTAGTAGTGTACAGCCCGAAACTCGAATTTTAGTTCGAGCGGTTTTTGGCTTACGCGACCTAAATGAGAGTTAAAGATCTCAATAATAGGAACTCAATAGTAAAAAGATGGACGGAAACGGAGTTCGTATGAAAGAGTTACGAATTCTTCGCGGTCATTTAACAGTCTAAACACCTCCTACTGTTAAATTTATGATCGGTCGAGAATTAGCCGACGGAGCCAAAATGAAAGTTGTAGATATTATTTTTTACCTACGCATGGATATAAAAAACATCGGAAACGGAGATAGTATGAGATAGATATAGACGAGGCTTAGTCGCTACTTTTCGAGCGCGACGAATTCGATATAGTTTTGTAAATCCGAGATAGAATGAGAATTAGCTAACGAGGTCTAAAAGAAAGTTGAAGATCTCATTAATAGGATCTCAACGGTAAAAAGACAGACAAAAACGGAGCTCGTATGCAAAAGTTACGGACGAAGCTTAGAGGCTACTTTACTATAAAACTCCTATAAATACAAGGGTGAACTCCTCATATTTTCTTCACACCATAAGCCTCTCTTTCTCTCTCTAACTTCTCTCTAGCCTCCCTAAACCCCTCCCAAGTCTACGGAACCTCCCTAGCACGAGAAGAAAGCCCCGGAGCGCCCGACGGCTCCGAGAAGAAAAACTTTCGGCTTGGAAACGTTGCTCCAGCGAAGCCCGGTTTTTAATAAAAACTCTCTGTAAGTGAGCTACGCCTATACTATATTTAATATAGATTTTATTTAATTATAGTAACATTATTAGGACCTTAAAATAATTATTTGGGCTATTATTATGAGTTATATTGAGTGTTATTTAACGCTTATATAATAGTAATAATAGCTAGACTATTAATTAGTCGTGGTTAACGTTAAAAACTAAACCCTAGTGGTATTGATACTAGGTTTTGTCGAGGAAAATTGTTTTGAGATAACGAAGTGCTGTCTGAGTTCGGAATCACCACCTAATCAGGTGAGTGCATAGTCCCTTTCATCTTACACATAGATATGAAGTATTTAATATAAACTACGTGCTATGTGTGCATATTATCTTAATACTTGCTGTCTATGTTGGATGAACGTTTTATACATGTTTTAAAGGATTTAAATTGTATACGTATTTTATATATACGAATAAGTGGGGTATGATGATGGGTAGATAGATGATGAGAGATACAAGATGACGTGAGTATACATTGGCAGCTATAGACTTAGTGCCTATGGGACAAACACCGGTAGCTATGGACTTAGTACATGTCAGACGTTGGTAGCTATGGATTTAGTACCTGTTAGAAACTGGTAGCTATGGACTTAGTACCTATTAGTTAGACGCTGGTAGCTATGGATTTAGTACCTATAGGAATTGGTAGCTATGGACTTAGTACCTATTGAACGCTGGTAGCTATGGATTTAGTACCCGATGAGTAGGATATAGCAGCTATGGAATTAGTGCTTTACGAACTAACATCGGCAGCTATGGATTTAGTGCCAATCCTATAACCCTGGAAGTAAGGGACTTCGGAATAAACAAATGCAGGATAGACGACTCTTAGGTTAAATCCTTAAGAGTAAAGAAGATAACGGGGATGGGTAATGGGGTTAATTGTTTGATGATTAAACATAACAATTATATTATTGTGGGTTGAAAACCCTATGTATTCACCAGGTTTCCCAACCTGACCCACTCAGTTTATGTATATCACAGGTGTTGATATGAAGTCACTTTACACTGAGAGATTTAAAGAGATGTAGATCACTAGTGTAAATAAATGTAAGTTCTGTTTATGCTTATGTTTCTATATTAACGATGACATCCCAAACATTTTAAGATGAATAAAAATACGTTTCTTCGAAAATGTTTTAATAATATATTTATCGTGTTTTTCTGGTAACAAATTCCGCAACCTTTTTATAAAATGAAGTACTCTGATTTTTATAAAGCATAAACAAAATCGGTCTTTTCTGGCCGTGATTTTGGGGATGTCACAGTTGGTATCAGAGCATTAGTTTAAGCGAACTAGGAATATGGATTTATTTCTAGACTTAAACTTAGAATGCTAAGCGATGATTGTGAGGTGTGAGCACTAGCTTAATTTAGGAATGATGCCTAAATTGCTTTTATGTGCTAAATGATTTGTTTTGCTATAGTTTGATCGGATCTATGGTCTGTTGCCGACCGGATCTGGAAACCTTATGTGTTTAGGATTCTAAACGTACAAATACGATATTAGAACTAGCATATAAACGTTTCGGAGTGATAAGGATGATTTAAACGTCAATCCTAAGTAAAGATCTAGATTCACCATATTCGGTGTAGAGATCAAGATGGCAAGAACCCGTAGCGGAAACGTAAATGCGAATGGGAACAGGAACCAACCCCCAGTGGTTCAGCAAATACCTGTTGTAGAAGAAGTTGCGCCTGATCCAGTCACCATGGCTGGAGTTCAAGCCATGATTCAGGCTATGTTAGCTGAACAAAGGGAAGAAATGAGACAGATGTTGAATAGGGATGAACCTACCGTACGTGTTGAACCGACGGAGCTAGTTCCCGAGCAATCTGAGGAAGGGAACTACAGCCGCCAAGTGAGTCAAGTAGGGACTCAAGGCGAGCAAAGGGATGGCCCAGAAGGGAGAAACAACAAGTATGGGTGAATGTACAAGAATTTCTTGGGTGCGAAACCACCAAGCCTCTCAGGAAGCCTGAAGCCGGTTGAGATTATGGATTGGATCTCTGAGATGGAGATGGTGTTTGAGAGCTGTAGTTGTAATGAGAAACAGAAGACTGTCTTTGCAGTAAGACATCTGAAAACTGGAGTCTTGAGCTGGTGGAAGCTATTGGCAGATACGATGCCACGAGGAAAAGCCTTAAGGATGTCGTGGGAAGAGTTTTTGGAACAGTTGAAAATGCAATACTGCTCGGAGATAGATCTGATAGACCTAAACAACGAGTTTCAAAACCTGAAGAAAGGGAAGATGAGTGTTGATGAGTATGCCACCGCATTCACCGAAAGGATGAAGCTATTCCCCTACTTGGTGCCTACTGAACTCTCCAAGATTGATAGGTTTGCTAACGGACTGCCCATTGACTTTGGGCCAATGGTCAAAATGGCAACTACTTTGAAAGCAGCTGTTAGGGCAGCTAAGAACGTAGAGGCCCAGATAAGAGAAAAGGGTCTAGAAAAAGATAAGGTAGGAGAGAAGTGGAAGTTTGAAGGATCTTCAAGGCCGAACAAGGAAAGCAAATTCTCAAAGCTTGGAGGAGCAGATGGAGGTGAAGCAAGATGGTGTGATAGATGCAAGAAGAAGCATGGTGGAAAGTGCAACGAAGAAGTGACTTGTTACAAGTGTGGGAGGACTGGTCACTATTCCAAAGACTGCACGCATAATGACAAAGTATGTTACGGATGTGGAGGCAAGGGGCACATGTCCAGAGACTGCCCAAGGAAAAATAAAGCAGCAAGACCAGAAACGCCACCAAGGCCGAGGGCATTTCACATGATCCTTGACGAGGCAGAGAACCATGCAAGGAATCAAGAATGAGGACTTCTTACCTGAAGATCGGATTATGCAGTAGCCATAGTTTCGTACGATGTAGCCTAGTAAAGGCATAGTCTAGGGTGAACTTGAACACCTATGTAATAGTTTCGAG